CTGAGCTTCTGCCTTAGCTCTGTTAAATATTCATCTACATCAGATGCTTGACTGACAGGTGGCTGACTTTGTCCATCTCTGTTGAATTAAACTTGAAGTGAATCAAATTAAGTAGCTGTCTGATGTGCTGTTAATATGAAAAACAAATGATTCATCAGAAGATTCATGCCGCAAAAATACTTTTTTTTTCCAATATGCATACACTACCATTCAAATGTTTGGGGTCAGTTAAATTTTTCTTGAAATAAATTAATGCTTTTATTCAGCAAGGAGGCATTAAATTGATCAAAAGTAACAGTAAAGACACAGTAAAGACAATGAGGCTTTCATTTTGAACTCTGTATTCATCAAAGAATCCTGATATTTTCATTTATTTAGTTCGTTTTTTATTTATTTATTTATTTTTTGACATGAACAGCGAATCAACATACAGATATTCAAATCAACATTCCACCAGCTGCTGTTACTCCATCAAGATCTTCCATTCAGTTGATATGAACCAAGTTTGCCAACAAATATGTGGACTAATTGCAGAATGTTGGTTTTGGTTATTTTGCCAACACCATCCTAATGGCAACCACTTCGTGCAGCTGAGATTAAATTAATACGTTGTTCCATCACTCATTACAAAATGTTGCATTGGCCTTAGTACAGGGTTTTTCCATAATCTCCCTAACTACAAACTGATATTTTCCGTTGGGGGAACACCTTGATCTCTGGAATGAATAAGAAATGCCCATGTTCCTTTATAGGATCAGATACAATAGATGTCAGAACATGCATCCCTTTCCATTTTTATGATGGTTATCTTTTTGAAAGATGGGTACAATAAACACCAGGTGGAATTTCCCCTACCACACACACACACACAAACGCTTGTTCATGCACGTGCTTGTTTACACATACACACATTTACATGTTTGACTTGCGAAAGATTCAGTTGCAAACTTTTTTTGAATTATCATCAAAGACAGACCTTTTCATATTCATGAATCAACACACTAATTCTGCATTACATTTGCTGTGATATTAGGAAAGATGTTTGTTGGGCAAATTTCTGCATTTCCTCTCTGTACTCCCAAATTGCAATTCGTCAATAAAATCTGCTAAGTCAAAAAGGATTCATTTCACAATTGTAATGGGGGCTCACTTGCATTTTGGCTTTTATGTGGACAAGCTGTTCTTTTACTGCTGAATGTTATACCTCTTAATGGCCCAGGAGTACAAATATGACATTCACTGGAATGAATGACTTTATGTTTAGTTGTTATTACACAATACTGCGTTGAAGCTTCTATCCGACCCAGCCCTGTGTGCAGGTGCTGGAAAATTCCACAAAGATTATTCATATGTATTTGCAGTGAAGGCAAAGGCAGTTTTGGTGTAAAAGAGAAAATCATGGTAAGTAAAAAAATTCCAGCATTGAGTGAGCATCAAATACGTTACGAAATCCTAATGCCTCAGCATCAGCAGAAAGATTAAGTGTTTGGCTAATTGCTCTTAGACTTTTAGTTGTAGTAGGTCTTCAGGTAGGAGACAAGCCAGGATCAATTCAAATGAACTGACTTGCATTTCCTGATTGCAGACAGAGAGTAAAAACCAGGATATGTACGTCATTGATGACATCTTCAGCTGTCTACACAACCCGCTATTAATCACAATACAGGACTAGTGCCGAGCTCTCTTAATGTTATCTTTGAATGATTTGTAAAGTTTAATTTCTTTAATGCAGTGAGTACCCCACTAAAAATGCTGAATGGAAAGCAGTGAGTCACTGAGTGCAATAGCAAAACCAGAGCAGATATATGATAAAATAATAATTGACTGCACAAATTCTGTCGCAAATACTTGAAAACCACCACAAACCTGCATGCCTTCTTTTTTACACAAATATTTCTCACATTATATATTTACATTGGAAAAGACATGCATCATAATATTGAATTTAATACAAGAAGTCACCCTTGTTGACACCCTTATGGGCAATTAACACATTATATTAATCTACTATATCTCACATAAGAGGGCGCAAAATAATTATATAAGTAATTTATAATAATTTTACTAAAATATATTGACTATATATGACTAATCAAAGAAATAACCAGATATTTTAATGGAATATTTTTCATCACATATTTTGGATATTCCATAGGTTTACAATTGGTTTAACTTTGATCAAATCTGCAGTTCATGTTAATTTTTTGGCAGCAGCCCAGAAATACAATAGATATAGACACTATGGCGTCAGAAAAATAATGACTTATATTTCAAAATCATATTTTGCTGATCATTTCGCAAGGGATGGAGTCAGATAGAGAGAGAACTCTATTTAGAATATGCCATTAAGATTTACTAATAATGTAATGTAAAATGCTGCAAAGCGACAGGGCATTCAATGTGAACTTATATATATATATATTTTATGTGCATGTATCCTCAGCAAATATTAACGCTGTTAACTCATTAAAACATTTCAACTTTAGATGCTTCATTCATGCGGCCCTTTATTTGTTGTTGTTGTTGTTCGTAATAGATAATGAACAATGAATGCAGCTTTCTTTCTGTACAGTAAAGCCAATCAGTTACTTTGTATGAGTTCTATAGCAAGGAAAATAAATGTTTTTTTCAAAATGGAAAATGATGAAACCATTGAAATGAAATATTAAATTGGTTTGGACAAGTAACAAGTTATACCATCATTTAGACAGGAAGTATATGCTAAACCGTATATGCACCCCATAAATGTTTGTAGTTCATTGCTTTGCCTCCTGAGTTTTATTAGCAAGACTGCATCTATTTTAAGTGATAAGAGACAAGGTACTTCAGAGTATCACTGTAAAACATTCCTGAGCAAAGGGCTTAAAGTGATTTAGACATCCTGCTGAATAAGAATGGCTGAAAGTAACTTTGAGGTAAGAACCTGCCGAATGAGGGGCTCTATAGTGGCTCACCCTAGGTTTCCCGCTGGTCCTTTAGCACCAGTGCCCATTGATATTCAGCAGTATTGACGTCACATGTTTGCAAGGAGTCCCTCTGCAGCTGTGAGAACCAGAACACTGAGAACAGGAGCAGACAATGTAGGAAGTGCATTCAGTCATTTTCCAGGCTCCCTCTGCTGCTGACATTCAATAAGGAAAAGCAGTAAGAGGACTCTGGCTGGAAATGCTTTGATACGTGTCACATACTGTATGAAATCAGATTTGTCTGTGCTGTATATGCTTTTTATTATTCATCAGTGCTACAGTATATCCTCTCTAAATTCATCGGTGTACTTATATGAGGGTCATTTCACAAAATGAGTGTTTTAAAAACATTTGATTTATTCTGTCAAAGAATGTCTTTGAATGTTAAGTGCTGTGCTTTTTTAAGAGAGTTGAAGACGGTATTGTTCATTTATCCATTATTAACCTTGTCTTTGAGGTCACAACAAGGTGTTTATTACACTCTAAAAAATGCTGGGTTGTTTCAACCCAATGTTGGGTCAAATATGGACTAACTCAACTGTTGGGTTAAATTTTGGTTACATTTTTAAATTAACTTTTTAACCCAACAGTTGGGTTAGTCCATATTTGACCCAAAATTGGGTTGAAACAACCCATCATTTTTTAGAGGGTAGAAAGAGAAAATATAACATTACACTCTAAAAAATGCTGGGTTGTTTCAATCCAACTTTGGGTCAAATATGGACTCACCCAGCTGTTGGGTTAAATTTTTACATTAAATTTTTAACCCAACAGTTGGGTTAGTCCATATTTGACCCAAAGTTGGGTTGAAACAACCCAGCATTTTTTAGAGTGTAAGTAATCATAATAAAAAAGAAACATACTTGTGCTTTAGAGTTCATCCTGAAAGGATGATGGCATTTATGAGTGTATTTATTTATTTATTTATAGAATTGTAGATCATATACCAAAAGCATGGACAATAAGTAGAAAACTCAATCTGGGGACTGGTCAAAAAGCATCCTTGTGGGGAAAGAAAACGCTTTTTTCTTTCTTTTTTTCTACATATTTTTCTTTGTAATGGACGAGTTTTTGTTCCTTAGTGTTAGCTTTTCATCGTTAAAGGCACACACAAAAAGCATCATTTTCTTGAAATCTTGATCATCGTGTCTACTGTTCCTTCTCGTTCTCGCCATCAGCAGTCTGCGTTTGTCTCTCTGTCAGTCTGCCTCCCCAGCCAGCGCTGCGCACGTTAGGTCGTTGTGGACAAAGGAAAGAGCAATACAAATATTCAACTAGCCTTACCATATTTTTTTTTCTTGTGTTTTTTTAATGAGAGTTCATTGTGTAGCCACTAGAGGGTTCTCAACGCAGCGGTGCACAACATAAAAACACCGTCCCGGTTCAAAACAGCAAGCAGGTTACATGCGACTCCTGTCAGAACGAACCCGGCTATTCGCACTAAGTAGCCTAATATGCTTTCGGCCAAATAAAAAAACAATGTGACGTAACGAACGAGAGTTGCCCGAAACATGTAGCATTTGACAAATCATGTCTTTTTCTTTCCACTCGGACTGTTCGATTGAGACCGGCGGGGATATTACGTGTTATTTCAACTTTAATGAACGCGAATCCCTCTGAAGAAATAGACGCCGGTCTCGCCACTGACCCCGTTCAAACACTCACACATGTACGCCTAGAGTTGTGTATGTGATGTGTTTGAGGGACGCGTTTTTGTCAAGTTTATTTGAAATGCGGATGAAGAAAAAGTGAAAGGGAAATGATTTTGACCTCTCCACACTGATTGATTACTAAGTCATCCCTGCAGTTTAATTGGGATCCATTCAATTGGGAAGGTGGAGCACTTGGCTGAATTAACATATTCCTTTCCCCCCTCAATCTGTGTTGAAGTGTCTTTGAAAGGGGCAAGGAAAGGGGGTCGTGGCTTAACATTATAAAGGAAAAAATACGACAGCATTGCCGTCTTGGTTGGTGTTGAATACGCGTCGTGACAGGCTTTTGTAAAAGCAAAAGACCGGGAAAGATCTCCAAAGACGAGCGCTATTTAGTATTTTGAAATCATCAAATCCCCTATCCATTGACCAAAAAATATCTTCTCTCCACTTGAAAATGAAACTTTTGCCCATTTGCACTTGGCTCCTTTGCCTTTTGCTTTTTATCGTGTGCTTGGGATCTGAGTGTGGGACTCCACGGCGAATTGCAAGGTCTAAAAGAGACTTGGTACGCATCAGGGAAGCCAGAAGTACCTTCCCAGGACCTTGTGCCACACGCCTGCCTCGGGGCAAACGCTCACTTCCCGGGATAGATCGGCGCTCCCCTCGCCTGTCACAGGCGGGGGAAAGCAGCCCAGGTCGGCGGAGGGCTGTTTACTTTACCGGTCGAGGAGACCAACTGCGTCTGAAACCCAATGCAGAGGTGCCAAGGGGTAATTTCACCCTGGAAATGTGGATAAAACCTGAGGGTGGGCAGCGCTCTCCAGCTGTTATCGGAGGTTTGATTTGCTTAATTATGACTTGCATTATATTCACTGCAGAAATCATTTCATAGTGTAGCCTAACTGCAGCATGCCCGTGCTTCATAAATCACCTCCAGTGTGAGATTAGTTGCATAAACACTTGCCTCTAACACTTCTTTTTATCACTTTCACTATTTATGAGCTAATGCGAGCGTGTGCCGAGAATAGTTAGCGAATATCTCTCCGAGGACGGCATATAGAGATGCGCTTTTGCTCTTGTTGTTTGCTAGCAAAAACTCACTTGGGTTTTGCATGCGGTTGGCAGGTTATCGCCACCCAACTTTTGGTAGCATCTTGTAGTTTTAACGTTACCAATTTAAATTGCCTTTCTAGTTATTCATATTTGAACGATTCGTTGTGATGTGGAGTAAAGCAACTATAATACCCCAATATCGTGTTGGTTTGCTATTTAAGTCATGGCGTTTAAAGAATTTGATTTGTTTATTGATTTATTATTATTAATATTATTTACACCTTTAAAACTGCATAAAACTGTGAAAAAAAATCATAATAGCGGCATATAGATTTGCCCGTATGGCTATGATTAAGTGTCTGTGTCAGAAATCGCTTAAACAAATACGTCATGCCTTTGATGCATAGGCTACTGTGTTCCTTACGTGCTCTGCTCTGCACTAAATACTACATATACACCCTCTATACCAAACTGAACACTACAGCTGGCGCCTATACTTCAGTCTTTATGTATGGCTATTTATAATTATATTTTAAAATGTGCTTTGAAAGTATGCATGTACCACTAACGAAGCGCTTGTAGTTTATAATCGGATAACAAAATCCGCTAAAAAAATCTCTATTTACGCGCATTACAAATTATTCTGATGGGGATGGAGTAGCATAGGTGGGCGTGTTAGTTGCTCGGTTGTATTTTTTTTTTCCTTCAAACAAATCTATGTGATTTCTTTTCCCCCCTCATCCCTTTTCCAGCCAACAGAGAGCGTAATACCCGTGGAGTCGGTTTATGAATCCTGCGTGCACCCCGTGAATCCCTATAGCACGCAGTTTTTCTAACATGGATGTCATTAGAAATGTACAATAGAACCACATGCTTAGTTTTTATTTTCACAAATATTAGACAAAAAGTCTTACATAGATTAAATGTAAAAAGTTAACTTTATGTCTGAGTTAAAAAATTATATAAATAATAAAATACTGGAAATAATTAGTGAGACATGCACATGCAATTTAGTGATAGATTTCAGGATGCATGATTTAAATAGCAAATCCTAGACTCAGGACATTGAAAATTAATCTAATTATGCACAGTTGGGTACACTGTCTTTAAATAAGCTTTATATATCCAGAGAGCTGCATGATAATGGATTGATTGAATACATCTTGTCAGTGAGTCATCTAAAATTAGTCCACTCCTCTGTTCTCAAAATGATCTCCTTATAGTCACAGTAACATTAAGAAGCAACGAGGGGGCGCTGGCAGAGTTTATATAGCTTCTCCAACTGCGCATCTAATAGTGTTGTTCAGCAAATTTTGTTTTAAACAAAGCATTAAATATTTGCGGTCCATGGACGTTGTTGCCCTCGTATATCTGCTGTCAGGTTTTAACCCACAAATATACGCTGTTTTGGAATCAGGATTCTTCAAGTATAGGATTATGAGAAGGAAATGCTATAAATGTCAGTACAGATGGATGAAGCTATAAAATTAGTGCCTTGTCCATCCTTTCTTCAAGTGGTTTTGTTGTTGCTTCTTCTTGTAAAGATATTACAGTCCTTGCCACAAAACATCATGGAATGAACTCCTGCTTTCAGTCAATCAGATCCTCAGTCGCAAGAGTGCACAAAGAGGCGCTGAGCCTGTTCTCAGACAGATGACATTTTTACTAGAAGTTTTACAGCATGTCTGCTGACGTTAGGTGGCAACTTTTCATCTGACATTGCACACAGTCTGATTTTAAATGTAAATTTGTACATTTTGCTTATTCTTTCATTGTTGTCATTGAGGTCTCTGTGAAGTACGCAGTGGAATGGGATATTTTATGGCACATTACAATAACTTAATATGCACCTCATGAAACTGTCAATAGCAACACTTAGAGGTTTGTAATGACGGCTATACAAATGTAAATATTAAATTATCATGTTACTAAATAGGTTGATTTATGTTTGGTTAGTGTAGTTGTTAACAGATATTTAATGTTTCTACAATGGTAATTCATACTTCATGAGAGGTTTAAGAAGATTTGATAGTTAATATATTAATAAACGTATATTAATTAATAGATGTAATAAAATATAATAATAAATAAAAATGTATTATATATCAAATTTATATATATATATAAATTCATAATAATAAGTTTGTATGGTAAAACTTTAGAATAAAGTTTCATTAGTTAATGTTAGTTGATGCTAAAAATGACTTTTATGCATTTGTTACAGTATTTATTAATCTTTCTTAATGTTACTTAATAATAATACAACTACTTGTTACTTCATGTTAGCTGAGGCCCATAGAATAATATTAACAGATACAACTTTTGATTTTAATAACGTATTAGTCAATGTTAGAATTAACATTAACTATGATTAATAAATGTTTTAGAACTATTTTTATTGTTAGTTCTTGCAGTTAAATAAGGTTTAACTAATGATAAAAAAAATGGAACCTTATTTTAAAGTATTACCTATTGTACTGATAAATAACATTTTGTCTTAATCATACTGCATGAGTTAAAATATAATTATAATTTTTTAAATTTAAACAAAAAAGTCTGAACTTTAAAATATGTTGACCCCCATGTCTAACATAAAATGAGTCTAACAACTAAGTTTAAAAGTAGCTAGTCTTAAAAAATTCAATATAGCCTTACAGATGTTTTAATAAAAATATATAGACACTACGGGTGTATATAATTTTTTCCAAACAGCTGCTGCGCTTGTCTTTCATTTCGTAATGCTCACTTTGTAGTGCTCTGTCCATGGTGCTGGATACTGAGATTGAATGAACTCAAAATGGACGGTTTCATGAAATATTGGAAAGGATTACAATGTATGCTATATTCGGCACGAGGAGCCAGCTGCATTAATTTCCAAAATTGCATTTTAACTTCAGCATGTACTTAGTTTAATGACTGGATTGATTTCATAAAGTAAGTTAATTTGCAAAGCAAGCAGAAAGCAGCATTTGTATTTGCGTGCGAGTCTTTTCCTCCACACTGTTTATCATACATTCGTTTTTAATGCATTGTCCTAGTTAAAGCTGTATACAGTATTTATTATGCACTGATGGTTTTAATGAAATCTCATTTGTGATCAGTGTAAAATTAGTATTTTTTAGTGTGTCCATCGATTCATTGAACCCCCATCCCTTTCCCTACACTGAGCCCCTTGCATGTCTAAAGTTCGGTGCTGGCAAGAAATGTACCTGTTTGTTATTTCCCACTTAGTGGTCTCATTCCAGGATTTCACAGATTGTAATTTCCTCAGTTTTATGGCACAATTTATTTTTATAGATGCTGGCAGTGGTTCTGCTGGCAGCCCAGAAGTGAGAGGGAACTACATGCTCCTGTCTGCTCTTTAGTAAGGCGCTCCCGAATGAATAATCTCTTTAAAGTGGTCAATCCTAGCGGTCAGAAGATCCTCATGCATTCAGCTTCACTAAATGGATTTCAGCAGCTCAGTCCAAATGCGTTTCCCTGTTGCAGAGGCATGTGTAAATTTGGAGTTATGTTACACGGTTTAAGTAGTAATGTAGCATAGTAATATTTTCCTCTGCTACCCTGGTAACTCTTTACTGCTTATTTGCCCTAACTGAATTTCACTAATTACCTCTAACAAACGCACTTCTCTCCGCTGTGGAAGATGAGAGAGTTCCTCTCACAGATCACAGATCCTCACTTTCTGTCTTTGACTTTAGGTTTCATTGCTCAGCAATTTACTGGATTATCTAGCACTGCTGTGTGGATTTGTAGGGCTTGTTTGATTAATTCTTTAAAATGAAATGTAAGAATTAAAAATTTAGAATTTGCCCTGTATCTGATTTCTGCAGTATTGAAATACAATCAGCTTTTACACACTCTGGACTATTATGAAGGACATGTACCCATTAAATGTAAGAAGAAGTTTCCTTCTGTCGCTCAGCACATGGTTTCCAAATGAAACAGGAAGAAAGGGTTTCAGAGCCCCTATCATAATATGGACTGTGCCGAAAAAGGACCATTTTTGATTTCAAACATCCCTACTGCTGTGGCACATTTCAAGAAAATAGACTGAAAATTCAAGTAACCTTTGCTCTGTTGATACAAGACCACACTGTCTGGGCCTGATTGCTAGCAGATGCTTCCTCGTAGGCCTGTAGTCCTCGGACTGGACTGTTGCAATGATTTGATCATGGGAACCCCGTTGTGTTCCCCACTTTTCTGGATAAACACATACAGTTTTTCGTCACTCTCCGCATCAGGCTACAGAAACTTACGTCTGTGGTGTTGCGTCAGTCAGTTTGCTGAACTACTACTGTGCGCCTTTCATTATACTTTTGGATAAATCAGTATCTGCTAATTGTGTCTAGCATTTATGGAGCAGAAAACCTCATTACTGATGAAAGATACAGTGGAGTCTAAAAGAACCCAGTGAAAATCTGCAATTGAAAATCAAATTTAAGTCTAAACAGAAAGTTTTAATATTTAGGGACATTGAAAAAAAAATTAAGATGTATCATTTTTAAGCATTTATAAAATATTTTTTGAAAGAAATTGACACATTTATGCAGCAAGAATGCATTCAATTGATTATATGTGACAGTAAATAGTTTATATTGTTACAAAAAAAAATTAATTCAGGTCACAGAATCACAGGTATTTCTGCAAAAATATTAAGCAGTTGTTTTCAACATTAAAATAATAAGAAATGTTTCTTGAGCATCAAATCAGCATATTAGAATGATTTCTGACACTGAAGACTGAAACATTCAGCTTTGCCATCACAGTAATAGATACATTAAAACAGAAAACATCTATTTTAAATGGTAATAATATTTCACAAATATTGCTGTTTTACTGTTTTTTTTATCAAATAAATTCAGCCTTAGTGCACATAAGAGACTTCTTTACACAAACTTTTGAATGGTAAACCTTGAAATAAATGTTTTAAGATTTTGAAAAAATATAACGTGACTCTGTACAGACGTCTGTTCTTGCTTCTATTGAAGCTCAAGATGATTTTTTTGGATCATCTCAAATCATGCTGAAGATCATGATCATCAGGTTTTACACAAACTTGTGAAGTTTATGCAGCTTGAATACTTCTGTCATTAAACCAACAAATTCATGTAAAACATTTTTTTATTGTTTTGCTGATAATAGAATTTATGAAAAAAAGCATAAAAATGTACATCTGTACCATGATTCTCTGCTTGTTCTTGTATCTAATACCTGTCATCTTCCTGCAGGTCTCTTTGATAAATGCTTTTACGCATCCAGTGATAGAGGGTGGTTACTTGGCATCAAAGCAGTCAGCGACCAAGCCAACCGTGACCCTCGCTTCTTCTTCTCCCTCAAAACAGACCGAGCCCACAAGCTCACCACGATCACCTCCAATGCACCCTACACTCCCAATCAATGGTCACACGTGGCAGTCACCTACAACGGTCTCTTTATGAAGCTGTACATAAATGGAGCGCAGGTTGCTGTAAGCCGAGACCAATCTGGTGAGATTTTCAGCCCACTTACCAAGAAGTGCAAGGTGCTAATGATCGGTGGCAACGCCTTAAATCACAACTACAGGGGTATGATGGAACACTTGAGCTTGTGGCATCGGGCTCTGAGCCAGCGTGAGATCATTAGATCCATGGGTCACAGTTTGGGTCAGTTTGGTGACCTCTCTCAGCTAGTCATTCATGAGAACTTTGAGAACATGTCAAGACGGTGGCTGACGGTGAAAGATGGGAGCTTCCCCTGGTTGGAGGACTCAGACAGGAACTTGGTGGCTATCCTCAGTGATGCTGCACTGAAACCTCCACCTTGCGGACAGACTGTATGCGACAATGTGGAGGTAATTACAAACTATTACCAGCTCTGGAGCTTCCGCAAACCCAAGACGGTGCGCTATCGAGTGATAAACGTTTACGACGATGACGGACGGTGGCCGACGATTACAGACCACCAGATCAACCTTCAGCACCAGCACTTGAACAACGCTTTCCGCGTCTACAACATTTCCTGGGAGCGCACCGTTCACAACGTCTACAACTCGTCCTTACGTAACCGCCTAATACTGGCCAACTGTGATATCAGCAAAGTAGGCGATGAAGAGTGCGATCCAGAATGTAACCACATGCTTACTGGCTTCGACGCCGGATACTGTAAGAGGCAGAGCACACACTGCCCCGAATACAAGCAGGGGAATGGGGTTTGTGACCCAGAGTGTAACTGGGACAATTTCTATTACGATCATGGGGACTGCTGCAACCCCAACATCACTGATGTCACCAAGACCTGCTTTAATCCTGCATCACCCCACAGGTAATTCTGTAATTCTGCTATTTCAAACCTATTCAGTGACACACAGAATGTTGCATACTGATTAATTAGTTAAATTATTCATTAAACCTGCAAATAGCAGACTATATCCAGTATGGCTTAACCCTGTAAAGCCTGACATATGAAATAATAGTAAAAATAAATAAATAAAGTCATTTTTTTTAAAGGAACAGTTTATTTGAACCTTTAGACAAATTCTAAAGCTACATCTAATAGAAAATGGAGCACGGTTGCTGATATTTATATGGCCATGAAATCAAATTCAATTCTGATAGCGCCTAATATCAATCAATCTTTATAAAAATGTAGCAAACTTGGATAAAATTCATATTAGTTTTTTTTTTAGTTAGCTTAGCGCTTTATTAAACCCCTTGGGGCAATTAGTTCAGACTGTCGTGGTGCTTCACATATACAATCAACACTTGAACACACATACAAATACTCAAAATACACAAAATACATACAAAAATATAGAAGGAAAAAAATATCAACTACATTTATTACATAAACGTATTGCTTGTATAACATCTGATTGTCCTTAAACGTCGCCCAAGGGGCATCCACTCAAAATAATAATTCAAAGGGTGTGTGCTGTCGCCTGTTATTTTATGTGCCATCCTCATCACTTGCTGTTCATAATAAAGAAAAATAAAGGAAAAGGACAGGATAGTTTCAAGTTAAACAAATGAATTATAAAAAGACCAGAGAATAACTCTCTGTACACTGAAAGAGTCAAGCTTCCTCAGCACAAACAATCTTTGGTGTGACTTTTTAATCACTATTGTCACTATTGATATATTAATATCAATTGTCACTCTATATCTCCCAATATTATGGCTTAGTAAGTTGATAATTAAATGCTTAGTTTATGCTGTAGTTTTAATTGTATTGAAGTGATGATTGAAATATAAAGCAAATATAAATAAAACAAATACAAAGATAATGCAAATAAACATTCCTCAAAAGCATGTAGTATCATATTTGCCACTTAATAAATTGTTTTTCTAAAAATGATGAATGGATAAGTTGCTTCAGTCCAGCAAGTGTTCATCTTGAAATATTGCTAACAATATAAAAGTTATTCTTATGTTTACTTTATGAAAATCATTAAAGATTTCACAGCAAAAAGACATGAACCACGACCTGAAGGGGGAAATTTTTAGAATTATACTAAAAGACCTTTTACTTGATAAAAAAAGTAAAAAATGATCAATGAGACAACAGAAGGCATGTAGTTGATTGTGTACAACAGGTTTTTCAGCAAAGTTTTGATCATGTTGGCCGCCCGCCACTGCTCACTCTAGGCCGGCCTCCGCTCACTCTAGCCCACCGCCCTCCGCTCACTCTAGTCCGCCGCCCTCCGCTCACTCTAGCCGCCCGCCACTGCTCACTCTAGGCCGGCCTCCGCTCACTCTAGCCCACCGCCCTCCGCTCACTCTAGTCCGCCGCCCTCCGCTCACTCTAGCCGCCCGCCACTGCTCACTCTAGGCCGGCCTCCGCTCACTCTAGCCCACCGCCCTCCGCTCACTCTAGTCCGCCGCCCTCCGCTCACTCTAGCCGCCCGCCACTGCTCACTCTAGGCCGGCCTCCGCTCACTCTAGCCCACCGCCCTCCGCTCACTCTAGTCCGCCGCCCTCCGCTCACTCTAGCCGCCCGCCACTGCTCACTCTAGGCCGGCCTCCGCTCACTCTAGCCCACCGCCCTCCGCTCACTCTAGTCCGCCGCCCTCCGCTCACTCTAGCCGCCCGCCACTGCTCACTCTAGGCCGGCCTCCGCTCACTCTAGCCCACCGCCCTCCGCTCACTCTAGTCCGCCGCCCTCCGCTCACTCTAGCCGCCCGCCACTGCTCACTCTAGGCCAGCCTCCGCTCACTGTAGCCCGCCGCCCTCCGCTCACTCTAGCCCGCTGTGTGTTTCGTTGTGAAAGCGAAACTACTTTGTTTGGACACGACTAGAAATCAGTGGTTAAGTTGTATTTACAATAGGGCTGGCGTTTCAGAAAGGCGGGACAATAATGTACATTATGTGGAAAATAATGTGTTTTTTGAACCTTAAACCGCATAAATGCATTTCATTACACTAAATACACAAAATAATGTTCTTTTTAGCAACATCATATGACCCCTTTAAATATTAATTTATTCAAAAATACTTTGAGATGCAATTTCATAAAGTCAAACATTTCAGAGTGATACTGTCCTAATATCATAATGAAAAAAAAAGCCTTGTTGAAAGAATGGCAAAGCAAGATTATCTCAGGTTGTAAAATATCATGTGGTGTGACTCCTTAAAAACTGATCATGAAATGTATGAACTAATAATATTTAAAAACATTTTGCATAGAGTGTGTACATGTAATTCAAGGTGTAAGCAAAATATGTTAGTACTTTTACTTAATGGTTACACATGACATTTTTTAGAGTCATTAAGTTAAAACTTTTGTTGTAAATGTTGTGAAAGTCAAAACCATATGAATCCAACATGATTTATATAACCTGATTTATAAACCTTTCTTTATCGTGGACTCTCTTATTTCTCATTGACCCATGTACAACAGTTTTCTCTTCTTCTTTTGAAGCTCCAGGTTAGAAGTTCATAGCTGTTTAAAGATTTTGGAAGTACCAGACGCGAACTCTAGGGCACTATAATTTTCATTGCTATGTGTGAAGCTTTCAGCTATTTTAATTCTGTTCCATTCATGTATTATGACATGACGTCCTGAAAACATCTTAACTGCTGAACCGGAGTCAGAGTTCTGGAGCATGAATTAACGTATACAGGGATGAGGGACAATAAAACACCATGAAGGATGAGTCTCGGCCCTGTGGTTTGGTGCGCACAGTTCGGCGTGTCTATACTAGTGAGTTTCAGGCCTGTTCTTATGTGTTTCATGTGTCCCCAGAGTCCGTTTTGGCACTGAATCAGAGCTCGGCAACCAATCGCGTTTTACTCTGTCGGTGAAATGAACTACTCTCGTGGTGACCAGATGTGAAGACGGAGGAGATTCTAGACATAGTTCTCCTTTTTTGTAAGCTTATAAAAGTGATTTGATAGAGAGTAAGTGGGAATGGAAACTATGTCCCCCTGGACAAACAGAGGAGCCAATCACAGCTTAGAGCGGAATCTCCAACACTATTACTTACAGCATTAGAGACTCTTCTGGGAGTCCTGCTCAGGAAAAAGAGCCTTCCAGAAATATGCTGAGGTTGTGGGGGCACTGGATACTGTTGGGGTAAAGCTCTGTATTTGCTCTCTGGATGGTGGGACAAACCAAAGACCTCTTTTCCATTCTTTTCCTTTCTTAGCAACAGTTCCTGTAACTGTACACACTCTGCAAGTTTTGTGACATACAGTGGGGTTCAGAAGTCTGAGATTATGCTGGCAATCTTGGATTCAAAATTGAACTTAAATCTGGAAATAAATTTAAACAAAGAAACGTTATGGATAAATGTTAGAATACATATAAATACATATACATTATAATAAATATTTAAGATTCTTATTTTGCTCACTTATCAAATAAGTACATTTGTGACCATGATCATGTGATCAATACTAGAGAACATGGTCATCTGGTTTGACACAATCTTATGAAGTTCATGCAGCTCAAGTGCTGCTGTCATTAAAGCGAAAGCGATAAACCTATTTAAAATGTAATTGCAACTTTTTATCTTACAATTCAGACTTTTTTTCTCGCAATTCTCAGAAATTCAGAATTGTGAAATATAAACTTAGTATTGCGACATATAAACTTGCAATTCTGAGGAATACAAGACAGAATTGTAAGATAAAAGTTAAAAGCAATTACCTTTTTTCTTTTTTCTTTGTTTAAAAAAAAACATAATTGCGAGATGTAAACTTAGAAAAGTCAGTTGCGACTTTTTTTTTCCACTGTAAATTTCAATTTGTTAACTTTACTTGAAAAAATCTTGCAAACTTATTGCCTCAAGAAAAATCTAGCTAAGGTTACTTAGTATAATCAACTTTTCATAAATTGGCTTCTGAGTAAACTTTAATATAGTGAGCAACCTTAACTAGATTTGGCAGAGACAGTAAGTTTGCAAGACTTTTTCAAGTAACGTTAACATTGAAATTTACAGTTTTCTCGTAAGTCCCAGTTTACATGAAAATTGTGGAAAAAATTGTGAAATAAAAAGTCACAATTACCTTTTTATTTTTTAATCCCATGGCAGAAACAAGCGTCAATGCAAACTATTCTGAAATTCATATTTATTTTTCTAATACAACATATCACTTAAATTAATACTGTTGTGCTGATTATGTGTTTGTAATAAAAAAAAAAAACTGTATAACATGAAGCATTTTCACAGGTGGACTTTTGAAACCCACTGTATGTCTGCAGCAGATTCTTGAAAGCAAAACCGCCGATTATCATTTAGTGCAGTTTAGTTTATTTAATTAGAACAAACAAGGGTATTTAAGGACAACTATGGATCTGTGCCAGATAAAAAAATAGAAGCATGTCAAGGTCCAAGATGAAAGTTTTATTCTCAGAAAACAGAAACTGAATATGGTTGAATGATTGCATATTCAATATCTGTAAATCAGAACAAATTAAATATAAAAGGCATCACTTACCTTTGAGAGGTTCTATAAATTAAAATATTGGTTCCAGGTTCATAAACTCATTGCATTGTGGTACTGCATGCTCGCAAATTGCACAATCATATTGCTTCCTGTCCGTCTGTGGTTACAGATCCTTAGTTCACTGTATTTGTTTTTTTTAGTTGCTGTAATTGCAGTTTGTCCTGTTGACGTTTGTGTGTGTTCGTGTGTGAGATGAGACTAGAGCATGTGGTCAAGCGCAGAGCACTCCAAGTTGTTGCTTGTTTTGATTTGATTATGGTATGTCTGGAGAGCTTTGCCGAAGGCTGCATAACGAAGTGATTTGACATTCCTTTTTGATTGTACAAGAATGCATGAACAAAGAGTTGTGCAAGAACAGAACAATAAAATCAAATG